ATTCATTCATTCATTTATTTATTCATTTATTTATTCATTTATTTATTCATTTATTTATTCATTCATTCATTTATTTATTTATTCATTTATTTATTCATTCATTCATTCATTTATTTATTTATTTATTCATTTATTTATGTATTCATTCTTTTATTTTCTGATTTATTCATTCATTCATTCATTCATTTATTTATAACATACTTCACAATTGAGTATCAATGTATATATTATTACATATAAAATAAAGTCCATTTTTAGGTTATACAAATCCGCAACAAGGAACGACAGCACGGCACGCGAGTATCGTCTCAAGAAACCGAAGTTTCGAAGCCCGATGTACCAAACAGAACCGACGCGTAATTGAATAAGCGAGCTCCGCGGTTGGAATCGATAACGTAACGGAAACTCGGGGGACGCCTGCCAAAATGGTTTTGGCAATACACGGGAACGAAGCGCCGTTCCGTTCGAATACAAAACCGGCGAGGAAACGGGGCAATTTTGGAACGCGTTCCGATACCGATTCCTCCCGGCGGGATCGGTTATTTTCTCGCGAACTCGGTACACACTCCACGATAAATAATCACTTTATGTCGACGCCGGCGACGCAATGCATTTTCCACGGAAATCAATTCTAACCGAATGCTCGCGTTATTTCATTTGTTCCACCGGGTTACCGTAACAGGTTAACGCGTCACGCACAGCGCTGCCGCCTGTGGACCTAACCTACAAATTAGACTGTTCACGTGTGCGACGAAAATTGAAGGTTGCCAGTGTAATATGACTACCGTGATATTAAATCATTAATAATTATTTTCAATGTCGTTTGACTTTGTTATTAAAAAATAAATATTATTATTGAAAATGCTAGAAACTCTCGTGGCAGTTGACGTGTTAAGTGAGCAGGTGAAACATACGTGGGAATTCAAAGAGATGAGTTGCAAGGGGGAAAATTTCAATTGTAATGATTGTATTGTTAGCTTGTTGAATGTACTACCGATGGATTGCTGAGAGTTTCCTGATTAAAATGAGTATAAACACGGTGGGAATCGGAGTAGTTTCAGGATTTGATGAAAACGAGCCTTTAGGTTTGTTAATTATATTGTATTCGTAAAACTAGTCCGATTCCCATCGTGTTTGAACTCATTTTAATCAGCACAATCTGAGCAGTTCAGTGGCACTAAATTTGAGAAGGTAAGGTAAAACATCGTATGAAGAAAATTTCAATTGTAATAACTTTATTGTTATCTTCTCGAATGTAGTACCGATGGATTGCTGAGATTTTCCTGATTAAAATGAGTACAAGCACGATGGGAATCGGTTGGTTTTATCGGTTTGATGGAAACGAGCCTTTAATTTCGTTAATTGCATTAAATTGGTAATGCTAGTTCGATTCCTATCGTGTTTGGGCTCATTTTAATCAGCACAATCTCAGCAATTCACTGGTACCACGTGCGAGAAGCTAAGGTTAAAATCACTGCAATCTTCCCTTGTCAATCATAGTACTGATGGAATCTTGAGATTCTCCTCGTTAAAATGAGTTCAAACACGGCATAAATCCGATCATTTTTATCGATTTCATGGAAACGAGCCTTAATTTCGTTAATTACATTAAACCGGTAAAACTAGTCCGATTCCCAGCGTGTTTATACTCATTTTAATCAGCAGAATCTCAGCAATCCATCGGTACTACATTCGAGAATGTAAAACAAAAAATCAAAAAAAATTCTTTTATTAACCAAGCTACAAAAAAACGTCAAAATTTGTTGTATCGATCCAATAGTATAAGCGTACCCTAAGAAACGTCTTCATAAAAGCGAAAATGAAATATTCAGGCGCACCAATTGCATGGGACACGCTGTATACGGTAATTATCCGCGCACGTTAACAGGTTACATGGCGCACAATGAAACAATTCATGCATGAAATCAAAGCGACGAGGTAAGTGTTCCTCCGGCGGGCATGCGGCACTAAAAAAAAACCGAAATGTCCACCGGTGGCCACGACGTCGTCCCCATGGCAACAGGCTAATTGACCATCGGTAATTACACGGAAACGGACTAATTGGGCAAAGGCGGTGAAACGGCGCGTGACGTGTTAAGAATAGACTTTTAATTCGCTGGTACAGGTTAGGCGAGTGCCGTGCACGCGAATTCTATGGGGTGGCCCATTTGATCTTGGCACTTCAATCGCGTCGTTGCTAATCGAATTCGTCCAAATCGTTGGATAGGAAAAGGTGAACCCATTTATATTTCCACGTGGTCACCTGACTTAATGCTGGGGACATTTTTATGGGGACATTTCGAAAGTAAAGTTCGTGCTCGAATTCTTGCTGTAATGGTTAGTGTTATGGTTTGTTTTAATTTGGTTGAACATTTCAGTGGGAAATTGTTTACAGTCTTAGTTTAGTTGAACATTTTAGTTGGAAATTTTTTGTTTTAATTTAGTTGCCAATTTCAGGTGAAAATTTGTTACTGTCTTAGTTTAGTTGAACATTTCAGTTGGAAATTTTTTGTTTTAATTTAGTTGCCAATTTCAGTTGAAAATTTGTTATTGCCTTAATTTAGTTAAAAGTTTCAGTTGAAAATTTTTTACTGTCTTGATTTGTTTTGCATTGGCTTCTGAAATAATTATACAACATATTTAGAAGCTATAAAAACAACTGCTTCCTAACCTAAAAAAAAACAACCAAATAAGTCCTTAAACAACGTTACACAAATGTAAAAACAAAAATTCTTAGCACAGAATGTTTATTTCTCAAATGAAAATCAGTTCGTACAGCAACTACTATTTACAACACATTCCAAATATAATGTCGTAGCTTATAAACTTAAATAACAATATTTATAGGAATAATTTAATTTTCTTTGTGTAAAATACAATACTTTAATCGTACCTTCTCACATATAATACCAGTGAATTGCTGAGATTGCGCTGATTAAAATGAGCCCAAACACGATAGGAATCGGACCAGTATTACCAATTTAATGCAATTAACGAAATTAAAGGCGCGTTTCCATCAAACCGATAAAACCAACCGATTCCTATCGTGTTTGGGCTCATTTTAATCAAGAAAACCTCAGCAATCTATCAGTACTACACTCGAGAAGGTCACGTTATAGTCATTACAATTAAAATTTTCTTGATAGTTTACATTTCACAAAATAAAAATGTTCACAAATTAAACAAATTATCTTTAACTGTCGGAAGTCACGTATGAATACAATATTCCAGACCATGAAAACATTGAAGCTACTATTGATTAGAACTTGAAAATAAACAGATAGACAGCAACGAAGAACCGTGCAGTCTCCGCGGAAACAAAAAGAAAAATTACCAGCGAGTCGTGCTCGTCCTAGTTTCAAGTTTCCAGCAAGAAATGTGATT